TATAAAATAAAGTAAAATGTTGGACAAAATTTTTTACAAGAATATTTTTATAAAAGCTATAAATGATTCATTAGATAGATATAAGTTATTGCATACAAGTAATACTAAGCCATTTTATATTCAAGTGATGAGGAGTTCATTATTTTTCTTAGAGATCCAATGTTCAATTCCCTTGGATCTAACAAAATTTGTAAAAGGATTTCAAAACTCAATCAAACCAGTCAATCAGGCTAGGTAAATCGTCGGTTAACTCAGTCAAATCCCGATTTTGACCAAGTCAAGTACATTTCTATCAAATTAATATGTTCGGTCTGGTCAAAGGTTCGAGCCGCTGGTTTTTCGATCCGATTGATCGAGCGGGTCGAGTTTTATAACTATGGTAATGATCTCCTAAACACGGTGGATGGCGCCTAAACATGGTGCTTAGGAGATCAAATTCGTATATATACACACACACACACACACACACACACACACACACACACAATAAGCACCGATACTTAGGTTATGTTAAGCACTTGAGTGACATGACACACCACTGAGAGATAATAGTTGATTACACAATTAATTACACCATTCAATGTAGTCTGTCACTTATTCGAGTAGCATAAGCTAAACACCGATACTTAGTGATTATGGTAAGAGTGATTATGGTAAGCACAAGATGACATAACACACTATAATAGGTGACGTGCCCCATCATCGGTGCTTAGCGTGCTTGGAAAATCAGTCATGTATGTGTATATATACAATGAGCTGATGGCAAAGATGTAAAAGGACAAGAGGTATGCTAACAATGGCAACAAAAAAAAAAGACAGACCAAACAAATGTTGCCAACAGCATCTGTATTATTTCTAATAGAACTGTTTCTGTACAAGAAGAATTAGTCAAAGGATAATGTCTTTATAACATTAAATCATTTGTTGATAAAGCAATAATATAGTTATAAATAGTGAAAACCTCTTCGTTGTCGAAGGGATAGCCGCTTCGTAAAAAGCTGAAGGACAAAATTCTCGAAAACCACAAGAAAGGATATATTTGCCACACTTTTTATTGAAAATAATAGTTCTCATCAAAACATTTATCAGTTTTTACTTATGATAAGAGTATAGTCGATAAATTGAACGTGTTTAGTTGTTCTTATATGTAAACATAATTTAAAATTATTTAATTTTGTTAAAATATGGTTTTTTAAATTTTTATTATTAACAATTTTATTTTTTTACAACTAAGCCCCGTTTAGTCAGAATTAAAATCAGATTTGTAGAAGATTTTGATAAAAGTTTATAAAATGGGTGGTTGAAAATTTGTGGGTCCCATAAAATGTGCGATTAAAATTAGTTATTGATTTTTACTTAAATTAAAATCTAAATTATAATTTCCCCCAAACATGTTCTAAATATTATTTACCTTTTTAAAAGGGTATTTTTTAACCAAGGCCAAATATGTCAATGTTCATTCAATTGTCTTAAACCTAAGGGTATACAATATACACGAAAATTTTCAAAAGGTTTCGTTCTGAATTATCTTAGTTTTAATAAAAATATACAATTATATATTTAATAATGCAGAAAAGAAAACGCATTGTAGAAATCCATACAACAAGATGGATAACTTCACAATTGAATTTTTTGATAGCATGTAGCAAGTAATTTATAGATAGTAGGGTTCATAAAATACGAGACGATCCAATAAATACTTGATCATATTTTTTCCTTTTTCGCCTCCACGTCGACACACTGGAGTTTCTTTTTCTTGGAAAAAAAGAATTAATCAATAAACAATGAAGGGCCAATTAAATAAAGCAGCAGACCCTGGTCAACTTGGGCAAATTCCGCGGTTAACCTCTACCCATCACCGAGGGACCGAGGATGGATGGTCCAAGACATAGTCTGGTGTAA